TCCTTGTTTGGTTGTGGACTTAGAGTAGGATCACTTATTCGATGGTCTATTGAGTTTTGATTATGTATGATTCTTATACACTAAGTGATTATAGATAGACCGAGTATGTATTACATTATACATATTCATTTGAAGAGATAACACAAGTACCATTGTGATTATTTACTTATATTAGTAAACTCCTGTTGTAAATCGCAGAATACTATGAAAGTCAGGATATGATGTGTTTAGAACTAAAATTATAATTGTTCAAATATCACCCGACTCATAATTGCTATAGAAAACTTATCATTATTTTTCTCTTAAATTATTCTAGAGAAAGATGCCTCCCAGGAAGTCTAACAGAAAGAACAACAACAATCCACCAAATCCACCACCACCTCCACAATATGATGTTGCTGTCTTCCAAGCAGCAGTAGTTGCCGCCATGGCTGCTGCCATGACGCAAATTAATGCCAGTGGTACAAGTGGAGCTGGCAGTGGGGCTCATAACTCTAATCGTGGGGAAAGTCTAGGACACCCTCGTGAATGTTCGTATAAAGACTTTACAAATGCAAAGCCCAAAACTTTTGATGGCACCGGAGGTGTCATTACTCTGACCCGTTGGTTCGAAAAAACAGAATCAGTATTTGAAATTTGTGCTTGCCCTGAGGCAAGCAAAGTAAAGTTTGCAGCATGTACCTTCCAAGATAGAGCCCTTTCCTGGTGGAATGGCTATGTCAAATCCTTATCCCTTCCTGTCGCCAATGCTATGGGCTGGGATGATCTGAAAATCCTGATGCTAGCTGAATATTGTCCCTGATGCGAAATTCAAAAGCTAGAGGAAGAACTCTGGAGTCTGACAATGAAAGACTCCGATATTACTGCATATACTGCCAGGTTTAGTGATTTGGCTATTCTGTGTCCAGGGATGATTCCCACTGAGAGCAAGAATGTTGAGAGATATATCTGGGGACTCTCTCCTCAGATACAAGGAAATGTAATAGCAGCTAACCCTCTCACTTTTGACAGTGCCAAGCGTTTGGCACAAACACTGGTAGACCACCGAGTTCGTCAGGGCTTTATGGTACCCATTCCGGAGAAACCCAAGGAAGAGAACAGTAAGAAGAAATTATGGAAAAAGTGAAAAGGGAAATCGTCTCAATAGCCCTCGAAAAAGCAACAAACAGTGGCAGCACACACTGCTATTGTTCCTGCTGCTGTTCCAACCCCTGTTCCTACCACTGTATCTGCTACTCCAGCAACCCCAAGTAGATACGTTGGAACATTGCCAAAGTGCAATAAGTGCAGCTACCATCATAAGGGAGTTTGCAAAGAAATGCACTGCCAGAATTGTAACAGAAAGGGGCATACTGCCCGTTTCTGCAAGGCACCAGCACAACCCATTTCTCAAGTCGTTGCCGCGGGAGTGAGCCAAGCTTGCTATGAATGTGGGGAAGTAGGACATTTCAAGAGAAATTGTCCTAAGTTAAAGAACGCTGGTGGTACAGGAAGAGTCTTGGCGATTGGCTATGAAGAAGCAGTAGTGGATCCTAATGTGGTGACCGGTACGTTTCTTCTCGACAATTCTTACGCATGCATTCTTTTCGATACCGGTGCAGAGAAAAGTGTCGTAAGCCATAAATTCAAACATCTTCTAAAACAAAATCCCAAAGCACTAAAAGATACATTCACCGTTGAGATGGACAACGGAAAAACCGAGAATACCAATGACATATACATAGGATGCACACTTACTCTAAATAACCATTCGTTCCAAATTGACCTTATGCCGGTCTCAATTAAAAGTTTTGACATCATAATCGGCATGGATTGGTTAAGTCTTCACCGTGCTGATATCCTGTGTTATGAGAAAGCTATTCGTCTTAATCTGCCAAGTAATGAATCTCTTGTTATCTATGGTGACAAATCTGGTGCAAATCTCCAAATCATTTCTTGCGTCAAGGCTCAGAAGTATCTTCGCAAAGATTACTGCGCCTTCTTAGCTCACGTTGTTGATAAGACACAATAAGTGAAAAGCATCAAGGATATATCACTCCACAATTCATTTCCATCTTCATTTTCCACTCATTTTCCTCTCTAATCTTCAAGTGTTCTCTCCCTCTTTTCTCCAAGAAAATTCGTGAGTGTGTAGTGTGTTTCAAGAAGTTTTCTTCAAGCATTATACACTTGGTAAGTTCCTATCAAACTTAAGATGTTTTATTTACAAATTATACTAAGATTATTCCTCTAACAACTCCATTTTCGTGTCAATGCTTCGTAGAACCACCTTTCACTCGAAAATCTTCTCAAGGAAGCAAGCTAGGGCCGAAAACCTTCTTCATTCTCCTCTACAACTCGAAAAAGCCCCCAAGGTTAACTTCATACCCCTTATTTTCGAGTTTTCTTTCTTTTGGGGGAGGATACAAGTCTAGTCTTGTGAAGATCTTTGTATATTTGCATGTATTTGTGTGTATGTATGTTTATGTGTGATGAAATGTTGATATTTCATGCTTACACTCCAAGAACTCGAGATTTTGCTAAGTCTCAAATTGTTGGAGCTTAGTTATCTTGATATGTTCTCACTTATCTTGGTGTTTGTCAAATATGGAAACAAGTTACTAAGTGAAAAGAAATGATTTTATTGATTTGTGTTAAAGATCACAAAAATATGTCCAAGAAAATGTTAAAGCAATTTTTTGTCATGAAAACTTGAAAAATGGAAAAATATGGAAGTTTCACTCAAAAGGGGCTATTTTCGACCATAATGGTAAAAATGGGCTAGTTTTGACAATTATGGTAAAAATGGGCTATTTTTGACAACAGTAGTAAAAATGGGCTATTTTTGACAATTATGGTAAAAATGGGCTATTTTTGACAACAATAATAAAAATGGGTTATTTTTGACAACAAAAGTAAACATGGGCTATTTTTAAACACTCCTAGTAAACTGTATAAATTCCGAAAGGAATTATTGCGTGTTATAATTTTGTAGTCGAAAATATACACTAGTAACATTATTTATAACGTTAAATAATGGAATGCAATATTCGCGTAAATTTCCGTTAAGGCTCTTATGAGACACTCCTTCACTCGTACCTACCTAGTGTATATCGTAAACCTGTGGTTATAACCAGAGTCTCCTGGAGGGAGAGCGGGATATTGTGTATAGATCTATACGGGGTTGACACCCACACACCTGAGCTGCTCGCTACAGCTAGACATGCCAGTCTAGGGTGACAATTATCTTTAGAAACCGACGACTGAAGAACGTCAAGACAGACGCTTTAGTCACATTAGTATGGTTGTAACGACTCACATAGAGAATAACAATATTATTTTAGAGAAATTAAATATCCTCTTAACTTTTGTTCCTACCAATCTTCCTACCCATTTAAATGATGACATGTGTTATATTAATATCCTAAAATATCATTAAATTTCATTTAATGAGCATTAAATGTTACACATGTCACCATTTAATTGGGTAGGAGGATATGTAGGAACAAAAGGTAGGAGGATATTTAATTTCTCATTATTTTAACATTTACGCAAAACACACACTCTACTCATTATTTAAAGTACAAAACTACGGGTCGTCTATTTTGCAACTAACTTCACCACTCGGGTCTTAGGGTTTTAGGACCACAACTTTTGTAAAACAGAAAATATAGGATTTTCTGGGAAACACTCTGTATATATTTTTAAACAAAGAATACACATGCAATTATACATGATTTGAAACGAGACTCACAAACTATTTTTTTTACAAGAAAATATTGGATTTTCTGGAAGTTTTCAAACTATTACGAAGTTTTCTTACAAATATGCTTATGAACTCACCAACATTCTATGTTGGCGCTTTTCAAAACGACTTGTATTCTCAGAGACTCAGTAAGCCGGTTTCGCAGCTATGGATTTTTGGATAATTGTTGTATTTTGAAATATCATACATTATGTTATTTTGGATGTAATTTCATGAACAAACTCAAAGTTGTAAACAATGCATGTTGGTATCTGTAATGTATGATGTTTGGATGGCTATGTTTCAATTATGATCAATTATTATGATATTACAAGATGAAGTCACTCGCCCCCGGACGTTTCCGCTGTCCCGGTTCAGGGGTGTGACAATATTTAAGCATTGCAACCAAATGATGAATTATTTTAATGGAGTCTGGTTGTATAAATACAATGCAAGATATGTATCTGTTTGGACTAACCAAACTTTACACTTTCACAACCACACTAATAACATATTTCAGAGTCAAAATGCAAATTAAAAAATACTTTGATTCACAACATGCTAACTTAGATATATTTTTTTTACCGTATTGAACTTTTAGTGAGATTGCAACACAATGAAAAAAGTTATTTTTGGAAAAAATAATTAAGCTGGTGTAGCATGTGAGATGTTACTTTTTTGGAGTTATAACACCATGCCTGTACCCACCAACCTTAGACCGATGAGTGTCATACCACACCTTACCACACTTTTGACCAACCACGTTAGCGCCACATCATTTTCCCCTCATCATACAAAATTGGTGGGTGTCATACTACATTTTTATTTATTTATTTAATTTTCTTTTTTTAATTAAATAAAATATAATTTAATAATATATAATTATATATAATTAATAAAAGAAAAGTACTTCATTAATTAAAAAAAAATACATAATAAACTAAAAACATAAAAAAACATAATCGAAACATAGTAGAATAGCATGTGACGCAACTATAACGTATCGAATGAAGTGGATGACGATGAAGACATTTTGGAATTATGAATCAAAGATATATAAAAGTGTTCGGTGTTTTTTTTTTCTGAAAAATAGCCGTTGGTAAATAAGGAAATTAAGTGCAGCAAAGGAGTCTCGAGTAATGGTCATACCGCACCTCCATCATACGATGTCGTGTTTACCGCACCACCGAACCTGGTGCGGTAGAGGTGCATTCTGACCGGTCTTAGGGCTTTGATTTGAGTGGTTAGTCGACGTTTTGTCGACTCTTTAGTCAATATGTTTGATGCGGGTAAATTTGATCTCTAACTCGGTTCATAAAGAAAAGAATTGCTGACTCGGTAACGTTCACGTTTTTGCCCTTTGCCCTGATACCATCGGCATCACAGACGCTCCCATCTTGAACGAGACCTCACCCAACGCTGCTTCAGCCTCGCCGGACACCTCCTCCACCGTCGTCCTCTCCAGCGCCGTCCACCTCCTCGACCGCCTTCCTTCCCTCGAATTGCAATTCAAATACTCTCCATTTATTCAACCTAACATTGACATCGAAGGAAACAGGTGATCTTCTAATTTGGATAACTCGATAACTTAATTATGTGCCGATCTTTGTTCTTATGGATTCATTGTTTTGATTTGATATTAAGTTATCGATTGGTAGGGTACGAGTTTTTTAGTTTTATGATTGTTGTTTCTCCAGCTTAGGTTATTGGTTGATCAGTATTGTGTGTTTAGTTTTTGCCCACCATCTGTTCGCTAAAATTCCTCAGGGGCTGTTTAATGCTTCAATTTCTACTCTTCTTTCCCACTAATTGCACTGTGCGATTGGGCTTTTGCTACAACACACGCTCTCAGTGTTTGATGCTTCGATTTATCATTTAGTGCCCATCATATGAAGAACACAAAGAATATCATACTTCCAAGATTCGGCTTTTGATACAACACAAGCTCTTAGTGTTTCCCAAGTTTTGGGTGTTTGGCAGTGTGCAAACTCTGTAGCATACTTACAAGATTCTCCTCCAAATGTGAGTTTATCCCTTCTTTTTGTGCTTTAGTTCATAGTACAGTGCACTTGAATACAATAATCTTTTAAGGTTAATCACTAAAATGTCCAAAAGGGGATCATAAAGTCTACTATATATGGTTAATTTGTTTTCATTATCATGACAGAGTGTTGTTCAAGAAGTTATACGGGTTGATGGTGTAGAAAAGTTATTAGTAAGAGAGAAAGAGCATTTGGTATTACTCCGAAAAAACTTGTGGAGTTCAATAAAAGAAACAGAAGATGGAGAAAAAACTTGCTGTGAGCATCTGGTATGTAATTTGCTCCATATTTTGTTGTTTGCAATTGTTATATATTTGAGATATTCATTCATGGGACAGTTTCAGACGATGATTTAAATTACAAGAGCCATGGTAGAACTATAGACAGAGCCGAGAGCATTGATTTGGAAACAACTTTGAGTGTGGATAAAGGGTTTGCAACAAAGATGGAAGATGGACAGTATCATGGTCATGGTGCAGCTGAGGATGATGATAGCTTATTGAATTTAACAACTTCTAATGCTACTACAAGGAAAACAACCGGGAGATGGGGGTCAACATTTTGGAAGGACTGTCAACCCATGCATCAGAAGCATGGGTCAGAGGAATCAAAAAGCAGTTCTGCTTACAACAATGAAGACGGATCTGGCAATGATTTGTCAGATGTGGATAAGGCAAATAAGGGTCAAAATGTGGATGAGATGCTGTCTGATGATTACTACGAGTTGGATGGAGATGACCAAAGTGATTCAAAGCATCACAAGCTGTTAAATAATGCAGCTGCAGGTGGTTATAATTCAATGCCACAACGGGGAGTTTCTGCCAATAACTTGAAGTCAAAAGATTCATCTCGGGGTGCATACGTGGAAGATGCTGATTTTGAAGATGACGAGGAGGATGAAGAAGATGGTAACTTGATGTTGTTTGATGATATATATATATATATATATATATATATATTCATGTGTGCTTCTCTTAAAGATAAGATATGGACTTACATTTTCTTAATATACTGCAGAAGATGACCCTGCTGATGCAGATTTTGATCCTGACTTAGTCACCACAAGTGTTGGAAGAGGGAAGAAGGTTATTATTATTACTTGTACTTTATTCTGGCTTACGCCTATCTATTGGGTTTGAGGAGTAAACACTGACATTTTCAATCCTTCAGGGACATGATGATGACTGGGATGGTGAGGATTTGGATGAAGAAGATAACTCTGAGGAGGATGAAATCGACATTTCAGAAGATGATTTTTATAAAAAACCAAGTGGTATGCAAAGGCAGAAGAGAAAGTCTAGTAGAGAACCCAAACCATCTACATCTACATCTTTTGGCAGGAGGAAAAGAGGGAGAGCTTCATTTGATGAAGATGACTCATCGCCAGATGATGATTTAGACGATGATTTAGAAGAGGACTTCAAAAGTATAAGAAGGAAAAGTACAAAAGGTTCCGGAAGGATCAATGAAGTTAGAACTTCTACTAGATCAGTACGGAAAGTATCATATGTTGAAAGCGAAAGTGAGGAGCATGATGATGATATCAAGAGAAAGGGCCACAAGGTGTGTAGAATAGATTATACTTATAGTAGTCATATCATATGGTGTTGTTTATTATTAAAGCTTAATTTGTATACCCTTTTGTGAGGTAAGGATGACATGGAAGAGGAAGATGGTGATTCGATTGAGAAGGTGCTATGGCATCAGCCAAAGGGCATGGCAGAAGAAGCTGCAAGAACCAACAGATCTACAGAGCCTTTACTGTTGAACCAATTATTTGACTCGGAGCCAGATTGGAACAATACTGAATTTTTTATCAAGTGGAAAGGCCAGTCACATTTGCATTGTCAATGGAAATCGTTTTCTGAACTACAAAATGTAAGTATTTCTAGTGTAATGTTATGATATTATCATTCCCTTTTTAATCATTTTTGTTTTCGTTTGTTTGTTTGTTTGTGGTCATCTCAGCTGAGTGGCTTTAAAAAGGTTATAAACTACACTAAGAAAATTATGGAGGAAATAAGGCACAGGAGAACAGTATCTCGCGAGGAGGTAATGGTTATTTCATGTTCTTAATATTTTTCCTTCTCTTCTACAATAAAGTCAAATGGGGTTGTTTTATTTGTTTGATAGAGATTAGAGAAGCAGAGCCTTAATGTTTGCTTTGAAAGTTCATTTAGATTCCAACTCCCTCTGCCCCTCACATGCACCATACCTTATGCATGGAAGTTGTAGTCACTCATGGCACTTTGAATTATGGTTATGTTGTTCTGTTTCTTGGGTGTTACCACTGAATAAGGCAGATGTAAGCTATAAAGACACTCTTTTATGCCTCATAGCGTTTATTTAGCTCTGTCACTTTGTTCTAGGGGTGAAGATTTTGATATGAATGAAGCAGAACAAGGCTTAGTAGCTATATCAAGGATCTCTAAAATAAGTGGCTTTGACCTTATTCAATTTTTTTAAACTGTTCTCTATGTCGTAGTGTATGAAGTATGAACATGTTTCCCCATGGAAGTTATGCATATTGAGGAGTGTTTAGCCTATTAATTGACATGTTAAAGTCATTATTTCCATTGCAATTTACAAAGACATCATTGTAGAAGGCAGTGACACTTTTTGACATGTGAGAAGGAAATAACATTTATTTTGGACAATGGAAATGACAAGACTCGGTTTTAGTTATTGGCTAATATAGTGGGAGAGTTAAATCAAGAATTAAGCATTCAAAGTACAATGCTATAATTGGAATAAATTAAAGTAGGATGCTATAACAAACAAATCAATCAAAGTACATTGCTATTTCTTGCATTTGACTTGATTTATGATTTGATGATCCTATTCCTAGTTCTATGTTCTTTATGAACTTCATCAAACCAAAATTATTTATTCTTTCTTTCACAACTGACAACCCTGCATATTGGTTTGCAACATGATATTTTGCTTCCGTTCGTGTAAAACATCACTTATATTATTTACTTTTTGCTATCAAGAACTTATAGCCTTGTCATTTTTTTTCCAAAGTGACCTGATTTTACTTATTTTGTATCCTTTTTTGGTTAGATCGAGGTCATTGATGTGAGCAAGGAGATGGATCTGGATCTTATCAAGCAGAATTGTCAGGTTTTATAGCTTATGCAATTTGGGTCATTCCTTATTCTCCTTTCACACTGCTCTATGTAATATGTTTTATTTGAATTGCACCAATTAGGTTGAGAGAATAATTGCTGATAGAATCGGCAAAAGTTCGGAAGTGCCAGAGTATTTGATTAAGTGGCAAGGACTCTCCTATGCTGAAGCAACATGGTATGTGGACACAGTTAACTTGTATGTATGAATCTTGATTTTTTATCTCTCTCAAGTGTTGGTAGGTGGCACTGTGTATAATTATTTTATTCGTATTTTTTGCTGAATCAAGTACCATGGCCTAGTAGTAATCAATAATTCCTATTTATGTTTGTTTCTATTAGCAGTCTACTTTTACTCACACTGAGGTGGACACACAGGAATAGAGGGAGTATAAACTCATTTTACCTTGTATGTAATAATGTATACAAAATTTTGTATATTGACTTTTATTCTAAAGTGCTCTTTTTTGGGATCTTCTGGACTCAATCTCGTATTCTGCCATATCATTGTTACAAGAGTAGTTTTATTTTTTTGATTTTGGTCTAGCTGATATGCTGTAACTGATAACTGGTGGTTTGGTTAGTTTGAAATATTTTGTGGTGCGTATCGTTATTTGATTTTAGTATGATTTGTTTATAGACACTGAAAAAGTAGGTTCCCGTGTGTTAATTTTTTCCCTAACCAATGAAAATGAGACACAGCGGCACATGCTTGTATTTAATTTTGATATTTTCAGGGAGAAGATTGATGATATTGCTTTCGCACAAGCAGCAATTGATGAATACAAGGTAATGTTCTAGTCTTAATGTGTTTTGAGTTGAAGAAGGATTATTTGGGTATCCTTAGTTTTTATTCCTTTATTGGTTTTTGATTTGTGAATTTGGATGCAGGCTCGAGAAGCTGCCCTTGCAGCTGCACATGGAAAAATGGTAGATTTTCAACGAAGAAAGAGTAAAGGTATGTTTGTTTCAAGATGCAGTTTTTATTACTGATCATATTATAACAACAATCTAAGAATTGGTTTCCTTGGACAAAATATACTACCATTTCTAAATCAAGAACACAGTCTAACATTAGATTTAAGAGGATAACAAGTATTTGTAAGTTTGCTGTGAACCTTGTTATGTCTGAATGAAAGCAAATAAATGAAAAACTGTCGATAACTTTTCCTTGGCAACTTAAATAGACATTTTAAAAAATAACCTTTTGTAACATATACAAATAAACTAACCCTAGAAGGATACCGATATTCATAATTTCAGTCTCGTGGGTATTAGTGGTTCTTGTTTGTTACCTATCAAACATTAAGTCGGTTATTTATTATTTTTTTTATATTTAAATTATTGCTTTTATTCTTATAGCAAGTTTGAGAAAACTTGATGAACAGCCGGATTGGTTAAAAGGCGGGAAACTGAGAGATTATCAACTTGAGGGGTTGAATTTTCTTGTTAATAGGTATGTGATACAGATACCTCCATTAGGGCTGGGTTAGGTAATTGTTTTATTTAAAGCTGTACTTATTAACAATATTCACAGTGCAGTTGGAGAAACGATACAAATGTGATATTAGCTGATGAAATGGGTCTTGGGAAAACGGTTCAGTCTGTTTCTATGCTTGGTTTTCTCCAGGTACCGTATGGTATTCATATGATATATTTAGTTTCTGCCAATTTGCTTCACAAAGCGATTAAAAATAGTGTTTTTGACAGAACTCACAACAAATTCATGGGCCGTTTCTTGTTGTTGTTCCTTTATCAACATTGTCAAATTGGGCTAAAGAATTCAGAAAGTGGCTTCCTGATATGAACGTGATCGTATATGTTGGGACTCGTGCTAGCCGAGAGGTATGTTAGTTATTTTTTTGTGTTTCTTCCATACAAACTTTTTCCATAATTGGAATCCACGATTCCATTGTTGCCAAATGTATGAAATTCATTTCTGTTGCATAGCATTAGCAAGGGGTAGCCAGCTGACTACTTATTAACAATGTGTGACTGATGTGATATTTCAGCCTTTTATTTATGTTAGTTTAGTATTAGGGGTAAATTCAATGAAATGTGGTTTCATCTATTTATGCATTATAGCATCCTACTTCCATTTCTTTCTATTACCAGAATTATACTTTCATTTCTTTTATTAAGGTGCTGGCTGTACTTTAAAAAATCTACCCATTTATAGCATTGTACTTTGAAAAACCTACCCATCCCATCTATAGCAGTGAGATAAA